ACTACTTATCGATTGATGATATAATGAAAGATTGTGTGATAATATATCAATCCAAAGCAAAAATGGCTTGGCACGGAACGAAGAAATACTTTTCTTCGGAGGAAATTTAGGATAATTTTCTTAAGACTTATGAGATTCCAGTCGAGACAACTATATGGTCGATATGTACATATAAATGCACGAGTTGAAATAATCATTCTATAAACCGTGTAACAGCAAGTCCATTTAATGGTCTATGTCTTTTTAAGTGATCTCTATTGCATTAATTGAGCCATTGCTCGTCGCATGCAAAAATTGCGCGTTCCACTCTGGAAAAGAGGACTTCTTAATGAAACTGGTTACGTCTTTCGAGATCAAAGGTTACTGGGTATCCCGCGGGTTACTGGGTTCTTCATTGTTGTCGTCATCGTACGATATTTATCATTATTTAATTGGAACATCTTTTCCTCTCGCTTGTGAAATCGTAAATCAAAAAGTTTCGCCGACAGTGTGAAAATAACCATTTCTAGATGCATGTAACCGGTGTCTCGCAATTTCAGGGAAGAATATCGTGGACCTGATGGATGGTACCGGGATGCAACAAGAGCCCGTTGGCGTCACATCAACTGAAAATCGTTGCCACAGAAATGACACGATCGCATACGACATCGCGGAGAGCGCGCTACTAACGATCAATACGAACACTCTGTTTCCCAATGGTATACCGCGTGATTTCTCCATTTTGGTCGTTGCCAGGCCAAAAGTCGGTCAGTATCCGATCTTCAATCGATTTATATTTATCCGAAATTTATTAACTACTTTAGTCCGTTAGATCTAATAAATTTCATAGGTATAGTAATTTTCGCACAGTCTTGAAAACAAATTTTCACAAAAATTAGGATCCCCGGTCGCGACGTTGTTTGCGATCTACAGCGACAGTGGTGAGGAACAGTTGGTGCTATCGTTGGGCAACGACGTCGTTCTTTACTACAGCACAACCCCGGATGACGAGGACAAACCGATCTCGTTCGGGATTGACATTTCCGATGGAGAGTGGCATCGTTTAGGGATCAGCATCAAAGGTGACACTGTCACGCTGATTCTCGATTGCGCTCGACAAGTTTCCAAAGTGTTGCGCAGGAGGCTCGACGAGACGATCAGCGTCAGCGGTATCATAATCATCGGCCAACAGATCGTCGACGGGAATATGTATACGGTCAGTGACAGTGGGATATTCAGATTTTTCTCAAGGGCTTTCGTATGCTCATCTCTCCTTCGAATCGATGATTTTGCAGGGTGGCCTGGAGATGTTGAAGATCGCTCCGATACCAGACGCAGCTTACGAGATCTGCACGATTTTCGCGTCAGATTGCAGGGATCAGTCGAGACACAGATCATTCGAACACGGTGGTTATTTAAACACAAGGAATTACGGCCCTCTATTATTACGTACAACCGTGCCTACTTATCACGAAGGTATCACAAGTATCGAAGATACTGACACAACAGTTCGAAGATCCAGTTACGCGGGTGAAGCTCTTTCAACCAGTAGATCGTATCATCAAGCGAGTAACAACAATCTGGACCTGTCTGAAAGTTACGGTAGAACGTATAGGCCCAATGCTTCGTATAACGAGCAGGATGAAAATATTGTAAGAGAGGAGTACGAGGATGGGAGCGAAGGCAGGATCGAAGACGTCGGGGACAGTGACGAGTATAATAATTTAGCTTACAAACACGCGACGGGATCAACCGTGGGAACGTTCCTTCAGAATCAAAGTGCCGTGAGTCGATCATTATTGTCAACAGACGATCACAGACTATGAACCAAGGGGGATATAAATATTGGCCCTTGTTAAATTAAACGTTTGCAGGTTTTCAACAGCGTTGCCTCAGCTACGTCAGTAGATCGCTATCAAACGACAACGCCAAAAGTTTCTGCAACTTCCGACAGTTTGACTGGAGAGAGTCAAGGAGGTTTGAAATATTCTGAATCGTCGGAAGGACCGTACTACAATTCCGTTTATTATAGTAGCAGAGGTCCAGTTGGGCCGCGGGGATTCCCGGGGCCTCCAGGCGCGCCCGGGCCATCCGGTAAGAAAGGAGAACCAGGAAGAGATGGTTTAACAGGTTTGCAAGGCGCTCCCGGTCCATCGGGAAACGTGTTCATAATACCAGCACTGAACCAACAAGGGAACGAGAAAGGGCCAGACGGTCAGACGGAAGCTCTCAGGCAAATGCTTTCACAGCACATGATGGCCATGAGAGGTGCCGAAGGTCCAATGGGCCTGACAGGTATTGCTGGACGCGAAGGACCACCCGGACCTCAGGGTCAGAAGGGAGAACCTGGAGAAATTGGCGAGCCTGGACCTCGTGGTGAAAGAGGTCGGTTTCGCAAGTTCCTTTCCGTTTAATGAGGAGACATTGAAAGATTTAATATATTCATGCAGGTATTCCTGGAGATACTGGTAGAGAGGGCAGACGTGGCCGACCAGGAAGAGACGGAGAAAGAGGTTTAAGTGGACCACCAGGAATGAAAGGAGAACAGGGTGTACCCGGGTTGCCTGGCTTGCCAGGAGATAAAGGCGAAAGAGGACCTGTGGGTGCCACCGGTGAACAAGGTTTACCAGGTCACGAAGGACAGCAGGGTGACGATGGTCCCCCAGGATTACCGGGTTTACCGGGTGAAATGGTGAGTAACGGAATTACGACACAATAATCTGTATGCTCGCGCAAGGACAAAGACAGAAATTAAGAAATTATTTCAGGGGCCTAGAGGATTCATAGGACCACGAGGTTTCCCTGGATTGCCAGGGAATCCCGGTATTCCCGGAAGCGAGGGTCCACCAGGAGCAAAAGGCAATGCTGGTCCACCTGGTCCTCCAGGCGGACCAGGTTCACCGGGTCCAATTGGGCCTATAGGTCCACCCGGACCTCAAGGTCTTTTGGGTCCAACTGGTTTAGTTGTAAATTAATCGGAATTTTTACAAGACACAAGATCTTCCTAATCCTTTTTTTTTTAACACTTCACAACAACTTTAACACAGGGGCCACAAGGGAAGCCTGGAATCCCTGGTTTGCCAGGAGCAGATGGATCCCCTGGTCATCCCGGCAATCCCGGTGTTCCTGGAATGAAAGGTGAACAAGGACCTCAGGGACCGCAAGGTCCGATAGGTTTGCCAGGGATACGTGGCGTGAAAGGCGATGAAGGCAAACGTGGAATACCTGGTGAACGGGGGGAAAAAGGAGAGAAAGGTCCGGAAGGAGAGAAAGGTGACGTTGGCGCAAAGGGAGAACCTGGACTGCCAGGTCCGCAAGGAATTCCTGGATTGGAAGGTTTGGAAGGACCAAAAGGTTTCGAGGGGCCACGCGGTGAAACTGGATTAGTTGGATTGCCCGGTGAGAAAGGTAAAACTGGTTCCCCTGGCTTTATTGGATATCCGGGGAATATTGGCGAGAAAGGTGACAAAGGCCAACCGGGAAGAGAAGGTCCTAACGGAGATAAAGGAGAACGGGTAAAGAGAGAATCTAACAGATAAAATTTAGCAAAACAAAACTTATTGTTTTGTTGTTTCAGGGTAACAACGGCGTTTCAGGGGAACGTGGTGAGCCAGGACCTAGAGTACGTAGAGAAGTACATAATGATATAGCCTATATAGATAAGTAAATAAATTACTATAATCATTTTTTACAAAGGGATTTAGAGGTGCTCGTGGAAGAAGAGGTGGTGAAGGATTACCAGGACCGAAAGGTGATACTGGACAACCAGGTCCTCCGGGATTGCAAGGAGATCTCGGTCCGCCAGGGATCGAGGGACCTCGTGGATTTGTGGGACCTCCTGGACAAGCTGGCCTCAATGGGAAAGACGGAATTCCTGGCCCCCCTGGAGAACGTGGACCAGTGGGCGACTCTGGACCACCAGGTCCTCCAGGGGCGCCTGGTGTTATTGGACCGCAAGGTCCAGCTGGTGAACCTGGACAACCAGGAGAACCTGGAATTTCAGGCAATCCAGGAACTCCCGGAGAACCAGGTCCCTCTGGAGAACAAGGCAAAGAAGGACTACCAGGGCCACCTGGTCTACCAGGAAAAGAAGGCCCACCAGGTTCCAGTGGTTTACCAGGATTTCCTGGTGAACGGGGACCGGCTGGTTTACCGGTCGGTTTCTAAATATTCAAAATACCCGTTAAGATTTCCGAGATAACGTATAACCTGCCTCTGTGAAACAGGGAATGCCAGGTGTAAAAGGAGAGATAGGACTACCTGGATTACAAGGTCCGTCAGGCGACAAAGGTGTTCAAGGAGAGCCTGGAAAAGATGGCGAACCTGGACCTCGAGGAAACCAAGGACCAAAGGGACCACCCGGGCCAGTTGGATTGAAAGGCGATAGGGTAATAATTTGCATTAAGAAAGAGATATGAAATTACATCATCATATTAAACAATGTGTAATATCAGGGCGAGCCTGGACCAATCGGCCCTACTGGACGAGATGGTCTACCAGGGCAACGTGGTTTGCCGGGTCCTCCTGGTCCTGTTGGAGTTCCAGGAGAAGATGGCGACAAAGGAGATATCGGACCACCTGGTGAAAAAGGATTCAAAGGATCTCAAGGAGGAACTGTAGGCAGAATTTAATTCTAATCGTATGAAAGTAAAATCTAAATTGCCATTTATTTTCGACAGGGTCCTCCAGGACCGCCTGGCACACAAGGACTTCGAGGTGAACCTGGCGCTATCGGTTTACCAGGTGAAAAGGGACCACCTGGAGAAATTGGAAGGCAGGGGCCAAAAGGTGAAGATGGTCCCGTTGGTGCGTCAGGTCCTCCCGGTCCCGTAGGGCCGCAAGGATTGCCTGGTCCACCAGGATTGAAAGGAGAAATGGGAGATACCGGTATGACTGGTCCTGTAGGACCGGTAGGAAATCCAGGTGGACAAGGTCCGAGAGGCCCTAAAGGATCTGAAGGCTTACAAGGGCCTCCAGGTCTAGAAGGTCGTCAAGGACAGAAAGGAGAACCAGGAGCGCCAGGACTTCCAGGTCTAATAGGTTCAGAAGGGAAACCAGTAAGAGAAACGATTTTATATAATTATTTCAATAGAAACGTGCGGCAACGAACGAGTTTCATTATTACGTAGCGAAATTGTGTTCACCGCAGGGTGAAAGGGGCCCTCCAGGTCCAAAAGGAGAGGAAGGAAAAAGTGGTCCTCCAGGACCACCTGGTAGTCGTGGTATAAATGGCCCAGAAGGACCGAAAGGCAATGCAGGATCACCTGGTTTTCCTGGACCTCCGGGAGAGCCGGGACCAATCGGTGCAAAAGGAGAACCTGGTAGGGATGGTGAAGATGGTAAACCGGGAGATACTGGACTACCAGGAGAGGTTGGTCCTCCGGGGAAAGAGGGATTAGCTGGTCCTCCTGGAAAACAAGTATGCAATATTATAACCTGTACAGTGGAAGATAATTAAAAATTTCTCTACTCTAGATACAGGTAGTCCTTGAAGCAGTAATGAGAATTAATTATTTATGAGAATTAATTATTTGATTATTTAGGGATCCGAGGGACCGGCGGGTGTGCAAGGAAGTCCAGGTTTGCCGGGTGAAAAAGGAGACGTGGGTCCGTCTGGAGCACAGGGACCTCCAGGTTCCACAGGGCCTCAGGGTTTTCCAGGACCGTCTGGTTTGTCAGGTGTAAGAGGACTGCCAGGACTTGCTGGAGAAAACGGTCCACCAGGAATGCCAGGTGCTGTCGGTGTTCCAGGAAAGGTTGGACCGATTGGTCCGAAAGGTCCAAAGGGTGACAGAGGTAAACGAGGACCTAAAGGACATCGAGGTGAATTGGGACAGGTTGGAGTGAAAGGTGAACAGGGCGAGAAAGGAGAACAAGGGCCACGAGGTGCTCCAGGATCCGAGGGACCCAAGGGCAACCAAGGACCAGCAGGTTTAACGGGATTTAAGGGAAACGATGGATCTGCAGGGCTTCCTGGAATGGAAGGACCGCCAGGGCCTAAAGGAAATGCCGGGAATGACGGACCAAAAGGCGAAACTGGTCCTCCGGGACCTCCAGGTCCTCCCGGACCACCTGCAGAACAGCCCATGATCCCCCCGGAATTGTTATTCACGAGAGAACAAACTTTGCGAAGGAAACGCGACATTTCGACGAACACGTAAGACAATTGAAATCACTCCCCTCTATGTTTGATGATACATATATATTTATGTATGTATACGTGTTATTTTGATGCTCTACAAATGAATATAGAAACGAGGAAATGAATTCAGAAACACTGAACAAAGACGATCACATCGAAGAGGAATTTGGCCCCAAGTTCTTGGACATGTACAGTTCTATATACGCTATGAGACAAGAATTGGATCGAATACGAAAACCAATCGGGAGCAAGGAGAATCCTGCACGAACTTGTAAAGATCTATTTTACGGCCATCCTCATTTCCACGATGGTCAGTAATTTCATTCGGTGCTGTTGTACTCGATGATTTCTAATCGGTGTCTAATCGTACGGTACGACAGGTTGGTACTGGATCGATCCAAATTTAGGAATGGCTGACGACTCCGTGTACGTGTACTGCAATATGACGAATATGGGTGAAACCTGCGTCTATCCTGACATTCACACGAGTCAAATGCCGAATATACCGTGGAGGAAGGAGAACAATAAAACTGATTGGTATTCGAATTTGCGCGGAGGATTCAAGGTAGGTTTAAGTTAGGTTAGGATTTTGGTTAGGATTTAAGTTAGGTTTAGGTTGGGTTTAAGTTAGGTTAGGATTTAAGTTAGGTGGGTTTAGGTTAGGTTAGGATTTAAGTTAGGATTTAAATTAGATTTAGGTTAGGTTTAAGTTAGGTTAGGATTTTAGTTAGGTTTAGGTTGGGTTTAAGTTAGGTTAGGATTTAAGTTAGGATTAAATTAGGTTTAGGTTAGGTTTAAATTAGGTTTAAGTTAGGATTTAAATTAGGTTTAGGTTAGGTTTAAGTTGCAAACTTTCGCGCCGGCGGAGGCCCCGGAGGAA